ACTGTGAGTCACCAGTTCATGATGTTCGCCTCAATGATCCGTAGTGAATCGCCCTTAATGATGCTGATAGAGGCGCCAGGGGAATTAAAACTTTGGCCGACTGGGCACGTGTTGCAGTCTCTATACGACCCACAATGAGTGTCAGGACGCATGCCTTGACCAAACACACATCAGAGGAACTGGAGTGGTCATGTAAATGTCTTGCTGACAGGGCTCTTTTAAACACACAATCAGATATTAAGCATTCCTTTGAGTGCTTAGGCTTCTTTCAGCCAGATGATCTTGAACAACATTTTGGATATTTCAGAATGGCAGTAGGCAGTAACTATATTATTATCCAGGATATATTATTCTGCATTCATGATGCTACTGATAGGGCTGGTCTGAAACCCGCTCCAGGCACAATAAAATTACACCAAATAATTGTGCTCGGAAAAAAAATCTGATGATCTGTATTACAGAGACAACAGTAGTGTCAATCGAGGGGACATTGCAGATGATCAGTTTTAGCGGTTTTCAGTTGTTACTGGAAGGAAAGTGAAATGTGATGGAATTTTGCCAGTTTGTGAGGAAAGCTGGAATAGTTCTGAGGGTTGTGAGGCTGAATCCGGCCTAGAACAAGATGAATCAGTAAAGCCGGATACTGTTCCTTGTACCGATAATAGAGTTGATGCAAATTCGGTGTTAGGACAGCTAGAGAAGTTAGTGTGAATCATATGAGGACTTGCGAAATGAATGTCAAGTTCTGGAAAAGAAGTTGGCACCGTTGAAAGCAAACGAGCGATTCCTATCCAAGGACAGACTTCCACTGGACACTTTTGAATCTATCAAGGACCTAGCATAAGACAACTTGTGCCAGGGCGTGAACATTGACAGGGCCCTGAATCAGTTCTGGAACTTCTACAGGTGCATGACTAATAGGAAGAGCGAACAAACTATCACTGATTTCCAACGAGAGGATGATATGCGGATGCACACTGATGAAGAAAAGGCCGTGCTCTGTTGAAGAGATACCTGCTCAAACGAAAGGTAGCACTACGTCTTGGTTTCTGGGCTTCGTAACCTACCGAGATCACACCAGGCTTATCACAGGGATCTGCACTCTCGCCAGTTCTGTTCAACGTTTATACAATAGGGATAACATCTAACCAGCTGCAGGGGCCCGGACGTGTATTCGGTTTTGCTTATGATGTGCTGGTGTACAGGCGGGGCAAGAACTGCCAGGTTACAGCGGAGAGAGTACAGGAAGAACTCGACAGACTTGAACAGTGATGTGAAGCAAACAACAGGAAACTGCACCCAGACAAATACTGTGCACTGTAGTGTACACAGAATAACCATGCAGTGCACGAAGACATGCCAAGTATCTCGATTGGAGGCAAAGTGCTGAAGAGGGAACCCACACCGAAGTCAAACAGTTGTTTCCAGAACTAGAACTAGATCTAGATGAAGGACCAGGCTGGTCATAGTCAGAATCGCTAGAGGATTCATTCTCACCACCATCAAGTTCAATGTCAGACACTTCACCACAGTCACTTTCTTCATCTAGTAAAGTTTGAAAAAACTTACTTGCTTGTTCAGCAGAAAGCCGCGTTGATCGAGGTCTTGATCCAGACATAATTGAGAGCTAATGGGAAATGACGCTATTTTTAACGCCTTTTTGAATCACTAACTTGGACTGGAAAATGTTTCGTATTTTTTGTAGTTGTCGTGGTTTTAAATCGGTACTTTGAAAACGCCATTTAAGTGGCATGCCGTAAAAACGCGGAGCCACAAAGAGTTAAACTAGTCCTGTGTCAAGCTAGTCTACTAGCAGGCCACGAAGCAAGGGAAAAGGTATTGGGAAGGGGCAAAGCAACAAAAATAGGCCCAGATCTAGATCTAGATCAAGATCTTCGTTGAGACCTTTAGCTCCGGAGTAGGAGAAAGTGACTCAGGGCTCTTCTGACAACGCTTTTCGTTTCGCCCCTCGATTCACAGGGATCAACCCAGACATTGACACCACTGGAATGACGCCTCTTGATTTTTTCAGGCTGTATTTTACTGATGAAATTGTTGAAGAGCTTTGTAAAAATATTAACGACTACGGAAATCAAAGATGTGAGGCAAGAGCAGCAACGGCAATGGATCGCTCCGTTTACAAAAAGTGGCGAAAGATCACACCAGGTGAACTTTTCAAATTCTTTGAGGTAATCATTGCAATGGGGATTACAAAGAAGCCCAGAGTCTCTGACTACTGGACAACAACAACAAAACTGGATCGATAACAACAACAACTGACTACTGGAACGCTGACTTGCTGCATATGGCAACACCGTGGTTTTGGCAGATATTTTGTCATGACCGGTTTCAGCACATTTTCCACACGATGCTGTATGCTTGTGAATTGGACATACGAGGGAAAGCAAAGATTGAGCCGTTTGTCACTTCACTTCTGGAGCAACTTCAGGCTGCATATTACCCAACACAAGAGCTTTCTTTGGATGAAATGGTAATGGGTTGGAAAGGAAGATAGGCTCACATGCAGTACAACGTAATTAAACCAAGAAAATACCATGTCAAGACCTTTGGTTGCTGCGAAAGTGAGTCTAGTTATGTCATGAACCTACGTATTTACTTCGTCGCACAGACTTCGTTCGACCCCATGACAGCAGAAGCACAACAATCTGTGCGAGTCTTCGAAACACTCCTGTCCCCTCTCGTCGAAGGCCACCACATATATGCGGACAGATACTACACCAGTATGCAACTCCTAAATCATCTGAAGGAAAAGCAGTTTTACTTCACCGGCACAGTGAACGCAAACCGGAAAGGCTTCCCTGCTGAGCTCAAAACAGCCAAACTGGCTCACAGGGAAACACAGTGGTATCTGTACACAGAAAAGCAGCTTCTCTGTGTTATTTTTAGAGATAAGAAAGCCAAAAAGTCCTGTGCTGCTGTCTCCAACAGTTCTTCCGTTGCCACGGTGACGGTAAAAGATGTCGGAACACCATCAATGATCAACGCATATATAACTTCAACATGAATGGATGCGACAGATTTGATCAGGCTGTCCAAACCTACGGCATGTACACCAGAGCACGAAATGGTAGAAAAAGATCTTCTTTTGGATTTTTGAGGTCAGTCAAGTGAATGCCCACATTCTGCACATGAAAGCCGAGGGTCGGAAAGCGTCACTCTTGAAATTCAAGCATGACCTGATTTCGGAGATGTGCTCTTATGCAGCAGCACTCCTTCTGGAGGACATGGAACAGCAGCAGCCTGATGATAGAGGCCACATTCCATCCAACAACTCTGTGGCTGGAATGAAGAGCAATCATTTTGCAGTGAAGTCCAGCCTTACAAGCGTTTGTCGACATTGCAACACCCCCAACAAATAGGAAAAGGACCTCATTCTACTGCAAGGGATGCCCAAACCAGCCATAATTTCTGTCCGATATTGGAATTGTTCTTTGTTTCTCGGATGAAAAGTGAACCAGGACCGAACCTGGGATAGATTCTCACATAGTATGTTGTAACACGCGTATTTCATTGGCCAGCCGATGAACTCTGACCGTTCTATTCCTGGAGCACGCACTCTTCCAGAATGTAAACAACGCAGTTTTCTAAGCTCGCTGAAGGGGAGAGACGGTTGCCTCGATTTCTACACCTTTTCATCGTATTTTTGTATTTTGACCAGTTCATGACTTAGGTGAGTAAAATGTAAAGCTGTGTATTCTTATATAAGTGTGCTGTTTCACTGTTTGTTTATGATACATGTAGATTGGCTCAGACTGACGGTCGATAATCCCTTCCAACTGCTTTTATCGTCATGGGCCGAGTTGACTAGCTCCTCGAATCAAAATATCTCTAGATCTAGTCTAGTCGAACAAAAATCACAGAGGCTATAAGCGCTATTTAGATTAGCTAGGATAGAAACAATCTGGAAATAAAAAATCTTGTATGCATATATATTTTAGCCTAATTGATGTGTTATGTACTCTTGTAATGGATTGTCCAGAGAAAGCTGGTTGTTATTTGAACTACTCTTTCGAATAGTTGTTCGAATTTGATTTTGATATTTGATGAATCATGAATGTCGACAGTCTGATCGATGTTCCCAAACTTACCTTGAAAACTTTTGAGTTTGAGAATTGTTGCCTTCTGTACTTCTGCATTTTTCAGGGCTTTTTAATTTTTAAATTTTCTTATTGCTGAGCAATGCCTCATTTCAATTTTAATTCTAGATCTTGATTTAGAATCTAGCTTTTATAATTGATTTGGCCTAGATCTAGCCTAGAGACCCTAGCCCTATAGTCAGGGTGTCATATAAAATAAATGATTGGTAAACATTTTGAACGTACTACAGTCAAACCTCGCTATACTCCGCCCAGATCTAGTATTAGACTGGTAGTAGTAAAGACGAGAAGAGACAAACTGGCCGAGGAAAAGGGGGGGGATTAGTTTGAAAGGAGGTTTGATTATATGTGTATTATGTATAATATAAAGGTCAGTATTATGAAATTAGATTAGTAAGAACTATTTATGAATGAAATTTCATTTTCCCTCAGGACATGGGTGGCGTTCGTCGCAAGCAAAGTGCTAGCAGGAGCAGAGGCAAAAAGAGGAGGACGGGTCGCAATTTCGGTAGTGCATCATGCGACAACTCAGTTACAGGGACACCTGCCTCTACAGACACGACGCACAGTGCTTCAATCATGGACACCACTTCGCCTTCCACGTCGTCTGCTGACTCAGTGACTGCCACTGCTCGTGCTGCTGCTGCCCTTTCAGCCAGTGCCAAGAAGCTGCAGTACAACAATGTGGAAGAGACACCTACCGTGAACCACAACACGAACTTTTGGACAACCATCGTTCATCTCGAGACATTACTTGTCCTTTTTTCTTCTGTCGTGTGCGCAAGATGTCAAGATAAAGTTTCCCTTCGACAGAAGGACCCGTCCAACAGGGGTCTTGCAGTAATGTTGGAGGTGAGTTGACTTTCGTGTGGCACGCTCAATACTACGTATACGTCTCGGATGACGAGGGTGAACGCGCCGGAGGTCAACAGGTCCTTCGCCAATGCTGGACTTGCTGTCGGCATGGGTCATTCGGTCCTGAGGCGGTTTTGCGAGGCGATAGGGCTACTGTGTCTGTCTCTCAAGACCCACCAGGCGATTCAGAAGGAGGTGCACAAGTCTGCTCTGCAGAGCCTTCAGAGTAACCTCACTAGAGCACGAGACATTGTGAAGCAGCTCTACCAGAAAACGGAAGACTTCTTTCATGTGGCTGTCACCTATGATGGCACATGGCACAAGAGGGGGCACACGTCATTGCACGGAGTAGCTGCGGTGATCTGTGCTGTCAGCGGCTTGGTGCTGGATGTCCACGTCATGTCCCTACATTGCCAGGTGAGTGGTCTTGTTCAGATTAAATATTTTGCTTTTACATTTGGTTTTATTTTATCATTGTATTACAGCTCATACTTTGTCTTGGAATACTATAAAGCTTACATCTTGAAATAATATAATGCTTTGTTTTTCACACTGAGAATGTTGTTGGGGGTGGGGGGGGGTGGGAGGGGGAGCGTCTTGTAACTTGGTATGGAGTTCATATAAAAAGTTAGAAGAGAGATGAAAATAAATGCATGTTTCAATCTATTGAGAAGTCCTGATAATTTATTTGAACGTTATACAGTATAACACGGATAGGTTGAACACAGAAGACCCGAAATCACGCTTCCATGGAACTGTGCCTGCGGTCCTGTTGTTTTTTTTTCTTTTTTATCTTTGTAGGATATCCCTGGAACTACCTAGGCCGGTCCTTGCGAATTCGAGCTATCCGTGTTATAGTCTATGCAACTTTATTATCCATGAGCATGATTCTAAATTCCTTGTATTTATTATCTTTTTGTTCTTTCAACAGTTATGCAAGGTCATGGAAAAACGACTAAAGGACCGACCAGATGACCTCGAGAGGTGGAAGACAACCCATAGACCTAAATGCCACAAGAATCATACAGAGTCTTCAGGTTCCATGGAAGTGGCTGCAGCTGCAGTCATGTGGGGGAGATCGGAGCAGTATGGCCTCAGGTTAGATACATTTGGTAATAAAAAGTAAACGAGAAATATATAAACTGAAAATAATATGTGCACAGGAAGATGGAGAGAAAATCTTGAAGATTGATTTGGATGTGTCAAGAACACCTAATCTTGATCAAACAATAGCAAACAAAATATAGTGTCCAAAATTCTAATCTTTACTAAATTGTAGCAAGCAAATTATTGATAAAACTTTTGAGGTAAACCATCATTTATTTCATTGAGTTTTGTCACTTTGTACCTGAAGTGTATGTTTGTTTTGTGTTGTTTTGTGTTGTTTTGTGTTGTTTTGTGTTGTTTTTTAAAAAAAAAAGTGGACACTTTTTGTGTGACAAATTTGCAGTTTGAGGATACTTTAATTTTTCTCCTTACATCTGAATGTCTCAGGTACACTACAATGATCTCGGATGGAGATTCCAAGACTTACAATGAGCTGACCAAAAACCCACCTTATGACGGCATTGCTGTGACGAAAGGGGAGTGTGTCAACCATGTTTCAAAACGGTAAGTAAATTTACCATGACTGTATTACGTCAAGTTCAGTATAATATATCCTTTATAAGGTAAGTCGATTGAACACACACGCTTACATCTTGCCAGGCAGCCGAAATCTGTTTAGTAGAAATTAATTTAATACGTAGTCCGTTGTGTATATGATCATTGTACAGTTATGTTTATGTTTCACTGTATTTTATATGTAACATATATGACCACTCCTCTGGTAAAAGTACAGAAAACTGGGCAAATTGTTAATGTACAAATACTGTTTTGTGTCAATGCAGTTTCACATCAGTTTGTTTTCTATTCTTTTCCTTATAAATCTCCCAGCATTGGCACTCAGCTGAGGAATGTGGTTGCTGATGAGCGGAAACGGGGAGTGACTCTTGGTGGAAGGGCATCTGGAGCTTTGACACAGGTAATGAGAATATTCTTTTACCTAAGTTAGTGTCATGTTTGAAAAAAAAAAAAAATGCAAATGAGGAAGTGAGAAGTCGGTGTTTGTACAGGTAATTGTCTACAGATTTTTAAATATTTTTTTAAAAGCGGGATGTTGGACATTAGTGTGGTTTGCTTTTTCTGTCACAATTTTACAGTCTTCCTATCTATCCCACCCTTCTTTTTCTTCTGTTAATGTATTCTGCACCTCTGATTTTCAACGCATACCACCTAAAGTTTTGCAAGTGCTGTAACGGCTCTACCAAACTTATCAAACTAAGCTTATTTTCTTTTTCCTTTTCTAATTCATTTATTCCCCAGGAGAAGATTGCAAAGCTGTAAGTGTACTTTACTAGAGTCGTGAGGAGTGTTGCCGGCAGCCGGGTTGCAGGTGAAGACATCTGTTTTACTGGAGCCTCGGAGGAGGACATCAAAGTGATGGCCGCCATCAAGGCGTCTTATTTCCACTGTGTCTCCACAGATGCTTTTCCAAGAGGGACTCAACTCCTGGTGCTTCTTCAACAGGGCTCAAGCCAGGGACCAACCAGTCCCTGAGCACAAGAAGCACCAGACATGTTTTTTAAACACGACGGTGGCTTCCTATGTAAGGCCAGTATATGAAAGAATGACTGACCCGAAGCTACTTGCGGGCTGTATGATGGGTAAAACCCAAAATAATAATGAGGCATTCCACAGCCAGATATGGCTTCGGTGCCCTAAGCACATTTTTGTGGGCAGGGACCGGGTCGAGGCTGCCACTGCCATGGCAGTGTGCGAATGGAACCGGGGTTCCGTTGGTTCCCACACCTGGATGTGGAACCTTCGACTTGAAATTTCAAATTGCGGTATTCTTTTGGGGAAAAAGCGGGATGAGGAAAGAATGAAAATCTCTGACACATATGACAAGTCAAAGGCTGAAAAGCGAGCTGCAAAAAGAGCTGCAGCTGAAAAGCAAAATAGCCTCGCCGAAGCCCTTGAGGTTGAAACGTTTGGATCGGCTTCATATGCACCCGCGGCTTCGGCATTCTAAATTTTGTGTCCGAGATTTTCATTCTTTTATTAATGTAAGTTTTTACTTTGTTCTAATTTGTTTGTTGTATTTTTAAATAGTCTGTCTGCAGTAGTTGTTGTTTTTTACCCCTGTAACAATTTTACATTTATTTTCAGCAATTTTCTTTTCACACTACTTATATGGGGTATACATCATAACTTTGATATTTCTGATGATTTGTACATTCGTTATAATTCTTTATAATACATGTGAGAATTTCAACTCTCTATCTTCAATAGTTTTTTTTCTGTAAGAATTTTTCTATCTTTTCAGAACGATTTCAGCAGTTCATTATGATCAGGTGAAGAAGAGGGTCAACATTATAAGTCATGTTGTATTTCTTGCCTTTTTATGGCTTCATTATAATCCTAAGGTACATATGTATAACGTGTGAAAATTTCAGCCTTGTATCTTCAATACTTTTTTATTCTATAACAATTTTACTGTCATTTCAGAAGGATTTCGGCTATTATTTTACCAACAGTATACTTATATATTGTATCCAAATTCCTGTTTATTGCAGTTTGTTGGCTTTTTTTGTGGTTTTCTAAACTCTGTTGATGTCAAATAAAACTTTGACATATGAGATTCCTAAAATGAAACAATTTTTGTCTTATTCATTATGTATTGAATACTTCTTTTGTCTTTTTCTCCGAAGTGTATTTTTTTTAGGGGTAGGGGTAGGGGTCGCGGCGGCGGAGATTTCTCAAATACCAGTTCATCAATTGCTTTGAGGTTTTGCATGATGGCTCCCTGTATATGTAGCTATGACGTGCTAAAGAATCATTGTGATATAATGACTATTTTGGCCTGTGCTGTGAGGTATGAACCAAATTTGATCTGATATGAAGAGAATCTCATAAGGCGGCAGTTGGTGAAGACTTTGACATTTTGTATCTCACAAAGTTATTGTCGAAAACCAATGATTTTTTAGCACGTTGCAGGCTATATGATTATATTTATTGTGATCAAACAGGAACTGTTTATCTTTACAACTTTTGTCACAACTTGCGCCGCCAGGCTGACAAGAATTTTATCGGCCACAGCCTGAACATCATAGACTTATGAAAAATAGTACCTGGTGGGCAACTATTCTTTGTTGGAATCTTGAGTATGAGTCCTGGGGTCTTTTAAATTGTATATTTAAAGTCAGAAAACTATTAAATTAAGATTTTGCTTTCAGCTTGGACCTTAAATGTATTTTATTTGAATATGTCCATCCTTACAAAATGAGTCAGTCCTGTTACTAACTTTTATTCATCGCTATAAGTTTTAAATTTATTCCCTAAAATGTTCTATGTTATCTATCTACTTACTTATCAATCTATTTATCTGTCTATCTATCGGTGTATCTAATCTTTCTATCTGTCTATTTATCTACCTATCTAATCTGTCTGTCTCAAAGTTTCTTCCCTTTCTGCTGTGATGTTGTCCCTCTCAGCCATTCATGATACAAACACGGGATCATGTGGAGAAAAGAAACCCTTTGTGTATGATAGTAACAGGATGGACATTGATACTGTCCATCCATCCTGTCACCAAACAAAAACATATTCTGATTACCTTGTCGCTCACTGCTGATGATTTCTTCCACAAGTAATTTCAAGACAGAGTGTCTGGAGATTTGGATCTTTAAAAAGTTTACTTTGGAAGGCAGATGTAAGTTTTACAGAGTTAGGTTGTTGGTGTGTTGAAAACAATAAAATAAATTTCAGTAAACTTAATGGTCTCTCCGAATTGCAAATTCTTCTTTTTCTTTGATCTTTGCTTTGAATGTTTGTATAGACCTTCTTTTAACTTGTTATAAATGTAGAATGGTGATAAGTTCATAAGTTTTGTGCAATACCATGCATTTGTTACGGTAACAGCAAGGACATTACTCAGCTTTAAGCCCTCCTGTGAGCTTAACCCTCCGGACTTAAGGTCCAATATTCTGGTTTGCGACCACAGAGGTATGCACTGTCCAAATGGGTCTATTTTTCAGAAGAAATAATGACATTCATTTTTGGGGGCACCGAATTTGAAGAGGGGGGCCATTTTTTTTAAAACGACTTATATAAAAGATCGTTCAGTCATTGGAAATAACAAGGTCTTTCTTTTTATACGTGTAACTGCTCAGCAACATGGGTGGCATGATTGTTGAGCTCTCATCGCGCGTCCCTATGACCGTATAATTGCTCGACAATATTTTGTGCAATAACGTCGCAGCTGGAAAAGCGGGGGGGGTTTTTTTTGGGGGGGGGGGGGTTGTAAGTGTTTTACGGCGCTCGCAACTGCATAAGGTCATATGAGTGCGCGGGACACATTAAACTTTTTCGGTTGGTAGGAAATTTCGAATTTTGCCCGGGTGGCAGCCGAAGCCTACTCTTACCGATTTTAGACCACCAAGGGATCTTTAACGTGCGCAACTTGCACACGGGCCCTCCGAGATTTTTCGCCCTTGTCCGAGAAGGCTAGGTGTAGATCTTTCCTACCAGAAGATCAGGGGTGTGGCTGAAAGACAGCAGTAAGAAGAAGCCAAAGAGTAGCAGTAGAAAGGCTGTAGAAAGAATCAGGAGCCCAGAGGAGGGGGCAAAGGAGATGAGGGAGTGGGGGCAGAAAGAGGAGACGAAAGCAGACGACAGAACATTGCTAGAGAGCAGGAAAGGGGGTGAAAGGAGACAAATTTAGAGAAGAAAATTTTTCGGCCACTACCTGGATTCGAACCCGGGACCTTTGAATGAGAGGCCAACACCTTACCCTCTAGGCCACAAGAGCCCCCTGGAAAGGCGGCTAAATGATGGAACTTTTTTATAAAGAATAACAACAAGGATAGGGGAAGTCAAATTTTGGGAGTTAGTACTCCACAAAATACATTTTTGCTCTCTCCTAAAAATTGTCCCAAAAAACCAGTAATAAAGCGGTTAGAGAAAAACACCATCGAAATAAGACACCACATAATGATATTGCCGGCCAGCAGTTCAGATGTACTATGCCCAAAATTGAGAAGAACAAAATTATTGCTGTTCTCAGTCCGTGGTATGGTATTGGTTGCATGTGCCTTAGAAATGTTTGGTCAAAATTGAGATTCTTGATGTTTAAAAAAAGCAACACAAAAAAAAAAAAAGAGACGAGAAGTAGGTACAGTAGTTATTGTTAAAAACAATTCTTTTTCTCACCAGAAAAACGTTGCTTTCTGGGCTTGGAACAATTGAACAGCTTGCCAATGATATGTACAGGTAGCGCACCGCACACCAACCATCAAATCAGCAGGTAGCTGGTGACACCAAGCACACCAACCTTCCAATCAGCAAGCAGCCGATGAGATCAGGATAAGAACCTAGCACACCATCCATCCAATCAGCATTCAGTTAGAGACATAATAATAAGCACCCAGCATACCAACCATCCAATCAGCAGACAGCTACACACCAACCATCCAATCAGCAGACAGCTACACACCAACCATCCAATCAGCAAGCAGCAGGAGAGGACATCTTGAAGGCGTACAGGCAAAGCTCTGATTCAGACACGCTGATCACTTCGTCTCTTAGTCCACACAGCAAAACAATCTGGGGGAAGAAGGGAAGGGGGGGGAGGAACGAGGAAACATCTGAGGGTAAGACTGGATAGACATGGTGCAGTATACTTTACAGGTAAAGTAGAACAGAGTTTAAGTTTGACTAAAGAGAAGTACATTGACGCGATAAGTCATTTAGTTTCGTATGTTAAAGTAGATAGAAATGATAATGGTCATTTAATGTTGGGAGAAAAGCAAGACAGACAGACAGTTTGGTTTCCGTTTTAGTAAGAGTTTCGCCGCACTTGCAAAAAAATTAGGTCATATTATAAGTGCTGAATATTAGGTGTTGCTAGAAATTAATGTACAAAGAAAAGAAGTAGAGATACAGATGATAAATGTTTGATAGGAAAGAAGGAACAAATGAGTAAACAAAATAGTATGTCCTTACAATATAGAGAAACCCAAAGACAGCATGACACAGCATAATATTTATCTATATATAAACAATACACAAGCATGAAAGATGAAAAAAAAAAAGAAACAATGGAATAAAGAAGAAAGAAGGAAATTTTTTTTTTTTAAAGAGGGGGGGAGGGGAATGACAGCAAAGCACTTACCTACTAAAAAAAACAACCCAAAAACCCCCCCCCAAAAAAAACAACCACACAGACAGCACAGCCTTGACCTTACCTTGGACATGCGTGCCCGGCCGGCCGGACACAGAGAGCCCTCCCCTCCAGTCATCTCAATAACATGCTGACCCTCGACCATCTCCACCTTTGACCTCTGGCCGCCCAGGCTGACTGGCGGCCGATAGTCGGAGGTCTGGGTGACTGACTTGAAAGGGCAGACCTCGTACTTGTACTGGTCCGACGTGAGCGTGTGACATTGCTTGCTCAGAGCGTAGAAGATGCCGTTAGGGCCGTAGTTCTGAGGGGTGGGGGGGTGGGGAGCCAACACAGCAGAAGTTCTGTAGTTTAGTTTTAGTTTATTTTTACTTTGCTTTAGTAAAAGTTTTATAGCACTTGCAACACAGTTATTTAGTTTACCTTTCATAATAATAATAACGATAATAATAATGACAATGATAATAATAATAATTTGCAAAATGATGATGATAATAATGATGATGATAATAATGATGATGATTAATAATAATGATAATAATAATAATAATAATAATAATAATAAATGACATTTATAGCATTCTACCCTGTTCAAATAATAAAGGCTCTATGAACACATAGACCATACATTGTGTTCTGACTAAAAATCTGAATGTGACACAATGTGATGGAATCAAGTGCTCATCAATTTTTGGGGATGCGGATTTATTGGTATCATCTTAAAACTAGTTCAATTATCTTGCTATCCCTGAAGAAAATGCCCATCTATCTTAAGTCAAAATATTTGAGATTGAAGAAAGTTGGGTTGTTTGGTTTCAAAGGTAGAATAAACGAGAAAATGGACGCCACAGTTTGGTAATTTCCATAGCTTGATAGTCAGTGGAAAATGAAAACTTACACTTTTTGTGCTTTTAATCAAAGATTTTCAGTGAATTCCACCCAGAAATATGTTCTTAATAGAACAACAATGGTGTTAGGCCAAAACACAAAAATTCGATAAAAATTACCAAACTGGCAGAAGAATGCCAGTTCCTTTAATTTCATTATTTTGACAAGCAACTCATTTCACCACGCTGCCTCACAAATACTGTAGTCTCAGCCTAAGATCCCCGTGCTTGGGAGCAAGGAAAATGCGGGATCTTAGGCAAACCGGGATCTCAGCCAAATGGCCGGGGGAAGAATCTACAGTAACTCATGGTGAGGCCCAAAATCTGTACAATGATCTTCCCTTACTTAAAATGAACTGACTTGACTCCAGGGCACTAAAAGTTCTTTTCTCAGAAGTCAGTTATTCCTTTTTTTTTTTTGGGGGGGGGGGCGGAAGGGGCTTTATAAAAAATACTGTGCCAGGTGGGAACCAGTTGGCTTCAGGCAATGCTCCCACTAAAAATTTATTGTTTTCCTTCTCTGACGGAGTTCCCCGCCCATGTCATGATGCATCGTAAATCATTGTGTTGTGACTATGCTGACTAAATTTTTTTTTAATGAAAGGCAGGTTCACTGCCAACAGATGACCACATTACGCAAAAGCGAACGGACAGTTAATGATTATGCACGCCAGTCTGTCTAGGAAGTTTGAGAGCAAAACTGAAAGACGAGAGCGATGGTCGGAGAAACGTAAGCGCCCACGAGTTCACAGTTTGATGGAAAGCAGACTGATGCTTGCTTGTAGGCTCTCCCCACCTAGTGAATGATGTAAGATCAGGTGGACGGCTAAGGCGATCGGGGAAAGCAACGCATCAACGAGCTCACACCTTGGTGCGATCCCGTCTGGGGTAAACATTGTGACTGCTTTTATTGAGATTTATAACAGCGGGTGGGATCGCATTCATGAGAGTGGATGATCTGAGATGTGACGGACTGTAGTATGATAGCAAATTTTCGCAACTTGGTTGACCAGTAGAGCACACCCAGGTTTCTTTTCTTTTTTTTTAACCCAAAAACCCAATAAAATTAAGACCTGAAAAGCAGGACCTTAGCCAAATGTAGCTCCTTCAGTACGGGTCAGAGCGGGTTCTTAGCGACGACTTTTATATAATAAAAATTGTTTTTCCAAAGCAGAGGGATCTTAGGCGAACTGTGACCATAAGCCGTGTGATCTTAGGCAGAGACTACTGTATATGTTAAAAACGTTGCTTTGGCTTCCCGTGTCAGCTAGAATGTAAAAAAAAATTGCAATATTATGTCATAAATGTGTCAATAACAAAGCTCCCTCTTATCTTAGTAATCTCATCCAGATTTATGTTCCATCTAGATCACTAAGATCAGGCGATCAGTACCTTGAGTCCTTAGAAAAGGGGGTAAAAAATGTGCAGAAAGATCGTTTGCCCACCTTGCTCCATCAGTTTGAAAATCTCTTCCCCAACCCTTGAGACATACAACATCTAAGTCTAAATTTTAAAAATCTTTAAAGACACATTTAATGACATCAGTATTGTGTCAGTAAATTCATCTTCAGTACAATGTTATGCAAATGACTATGTATCCATTTATGTATTTGCGAATTGCATAGAGTATATTATTCTATTAGGTATGTGTATGAGCTCATTTCGTAACGATGTGTAAGCGTGCGCATGTGATAAGCAAGTTCATGTGTATGTGTGTGTTTGGCGTGCATGTGTGTGCACATGTGAGCGTGTAATGTGTGTGTGTGTGTGTTTGTGTGTGTGTTAGTGTGTGTGTATGAGTGTGTGTGTGCGCGTGTGTGTGTGTGTCGGGTGCGTGAATATTGTTTGTACATGCATTTATGTAAAGCGCCTAGAGCTGTGTTTACATGGGAGTGGGCGCTATAGAAATGATCTTCATTATTATTATTATTATTATTATTATTATATATTTCATGATATTTATAAAAATAGCAATAATTTTCACTTATATAGTCCACGTATACTAAATAAGTGACAATTTTAATCACTAGGAAGATTTGTACAGCACTTGCAACACAAAATAGAGGTAATACGAGAATCCATTAGATGTGGCACTACAGAGTGTAATATACAAAAAAAGGAGGAGAGACGAGGATGGCAGATGTTAGAAGGAACAGCCATGCGAGAGCACTGACAACCACCCACAACAAAGGTTCAAAGATCAGCAAATGCTTGACCTGTCTCAGCAAGTCAAAGGGCACTGCAGAAAAGCAGATTGTTTGAGTCTGTGTTTAAGTAAAGAGAAGTACATTAACATAACAACAGTCGTTTAGTGCTGAGGAATAACCAAGACACAATAAGGGGAAAGAAAAGAAGTAGGGCACATCTATCAATGGCATCTTCCAACTATTCCCAAAGACAGAAATAGCAGAGGAAAAGATTTGATGCAGGCCTTACCGGAGACACCCTCTACCCACCCACAGCCACAATCATCACTTTTGAAAGTGTCTGACAGTTCTGCGAAATAAACAAACAAAAACAAAAAAAGAACAGACAAGCATACTATACACACATACCGGCCTCTGATAGTCTGAGAGCTCTGTCTGTGCCTGCCGCAGATAGCTAGCCTGAAGGTCATGACCTTGAGATCGCAAATGTTGCTCCCGTCTACTCAGAGCCACAATCTCACTACATCTGTCCGTGCAGGGGGCATGGTAGACGGAACCTTGTGGTTGACCTTCTGGATAGACAGAGAGAGAGAGAGAAAGTGTGAAAGAAAAAGACAAAGATAGAAAAAGGGAAAGAGAAAGAGAGAGCAAAAACAAAGAAAGACAGAGAGACGCATAAAAATAACATGCTCATACACGGGACATGGTAGACCCTCTGGATTAGACACAGAGAGAGAGGGGGGGGGGGGAGGAAGTGAGAGAGAGAGAGAGAGAGAGAGAGAGAGAGAGAGAGAGAGAGAGAGAGAGAGAGAGAGAGAGAGAGAGGGAGAGAGAGAGAGAGAGAGAGAGAGAGAGAGAGAGAGAGAGAGAGAGAGAGAGAGAGAAGGGGTGAGAGAGAGAAGGGGTGAGAGACAGAGAGGGAGAGAGAGAGAGAGAGGGAGAGAGAGAGAGAAAGATTGAAAGTGAGAGACTGAGAAAGAGAGAGGGAGACATCTTTCCAGGAAGGACAGCAAAAGAAGCCAATTTGGGCTAAGTTGAAGAACATTTCTACAGTCAATACAATATATCATCTCATACTCATGCAAAAGTATCAGTAAGATAAAATTCACATAAAACTCTTTGTATATATATATATATCAATTCAATATACCAACCCCCCTCCCCCCCCCACCAATCCAGTCCCCCACCCTCAAAACAACCACAATAAGACAACAAAACTACTGAAACAATATTTGCTAATTTGATGGGGGGAGGGGGGATCTTTCTCTCTCTCACTCTCTCTCTCTCTCTCTCTCTCTCTCTCTCTCTATGTATGTACTAACCCCCCCCCCCCCTCCCCCACACACTCCAAACTACCAGTACAGTAGAAAGAAAAACCCTCCACCTCCAATCCTCATGAATTCCGGCACAAGTGCCCCCTGCCACTCGTCGCTCCCGTCACAACAGTCGCAGATCCCGTCGTTGACCTTGGACGAGTGGAGGAACTGAGGAGGGGAGCCGGGGACCTGCACTGTGCAGTAAAATCTGTGGGAGCACAATAGTTCTTGACATTATACAAATAGTAGAGAGAGTACAAATAAATAAAAACACTGGGAGATTGTGAGGGGAAAATTTCTTTTGTTATTAAAAAAAACTTTCATTTACTAACGGATAGAGTTGGGTGGGGGGCAGGGGGGGGTTTCAAGCCCGTAATCCCTTCACTACCAACTGCCACTAATCTCGAGAATGTCTGAAGTCGAAATGCCAAATCGATACTATTTTCGTTATAGTTGAAATAACACGTGAGAGCAACTTAGATCCAACACAACTTGAGGTGGGTCAACTACTAAATCTGGCATCAATTTTTAGGAAAATAGTGGCCCGAGTTCCTGCTGACATAAAGCTTAACTGTTGTTCCCATGATAGAGTTCGAAATTTGGAAACTTGAGGTTTGGGGCAAAAAATCGGGCTATCACAAATAAATCGTGATTAGTGGAAGGTCTGGTAAAAGCAAAGGGAGCAGATTTCATGACTGACCCTATAAGAACACCCATCAACCACCCACAAAAAGGTACAACTTTGTACTATGTGTAGCTTACTTGCTGTGAGGGCAGGCCGATGTGCCTGGTTCATCTGAGGAGTCCGGGCAGTCACAGAAGTCATCATTGACTTTGTCCATAGAAATTTGAACCTACAAGCCGAAAAGTGCAAAAAAGATATACAATTTTAATCATTTAATTTTATCAATTTAATACATTTTTACAGATATTAAAAAATTAAGTCAGCAAATTTATTTTCAGGCATAAAAACAAGCCAAGTGTTACTGACTATGGCATTTTAGTTTAATAGTTTTAGTAAGGTTTTACGGTGCTCGCAACTGCATTTATGAGCGCCAAAGGGTTATATATGTTAACAAAAAAAGTCCATACGAGTATTAGGGTTACTCTGCTCACCTCTCTAGCTTCAACAGCACAAAGTCTGCTTCGACTATAAAGGCACCCCGGAAATAGTGGGTCACAAGAAAGTGACATAACATACAAAAGAAGTAGTGCACGACATTCATTGATGAATCAGGCCATTTACAAATATCTACTGTGCATAAGAAGTTTGTTAATGTCCCCCCTTGGGGAATGGCCTAAAGACACTGTTCTGTCAGTAGTAGTGCCGCGGGGAATATATGATGATAAAATTATAACAGTAACAATATAACACACAGCAGACTATCCTCTGTCCAGTCCAACACAATTTTTTTTCAGTGTAGACAGTAAAGCACAGAATATGTGTGTGCACCTAGAGAAAGGTACAAAAAGTTTCCCCAGACCGTTTCCAGCTACAGGCTGATATATATATATCGACAAAAATCACTTTTTGGACCAAAATGTGTTTCCATAAAAAAATGATGGACCCACCATTTTTTGACAATGTGCTCAAAGGGTTTTCAAAGATTTGACTTCTAAATATTTTATTTTGAATTATTTTGACGGTAGGGTATAATAAAAGTAAATAACTACTTTTAAAAGGTAGTAAAAATCTATTCTCGAAGCACATTTTCTCTTCCCTGCTATGTTTTACCATTGAATTCTATTCTTGATATAGATGTCAACTGAATGTCAAATATAACAACATGAATTTTCCATGAATAAATACATTAAAAAAAAAAAATTTTTTAAGTTTATAGGTGTTTTAACGTTTTTAAAACTTAAAAGCTCATTTTTTCAAAATTCTATCATTACCCTACCTCACAAAATATATGCAATATCTGAAAAACTACTTGAGATATCTATGAGAGTATTGAGAGTAGTAATCTTTCTATAATAATTCTAAGATTCATCAAGTCAGACTACATCATATTTTTTTATAAGGACGTGGCTATTCGAACTCGAGTCCGAACAGCTGTGGGAGGCTATTCAGACCCTCTAGTCTGAATTCGAGTCCTAATAGCCTTTCGTGGCTATTCCGACTCAAACTCCAATGCGTGCGTGCGCAATCACTAGGTGTACTGGGTGTGAAGCAGACAAGCAATTCGACCTTGGCCTTCCTCGGTTTCTATGATCTGGCCAAGGAACTTACAACAAATGGGCGTCGACCATGGTGACCCAGTGCGAACTGCGGTCTTTTCTTTTTACAAAGGATAATAGGGCCAGGCAGTGGGCATTGGTATGGGAGGGAATATAAATCTGCTAAAAAAAAGGAGTGACGGTGGTGGGGTGCACATGGGCAAGAAAGATGGAGAGAGAAAAAGTAAGAGAAAAAAAGAGAGAAGAAAAGTAAGAGAGAGCAGAGAGAGAGAGAGAGACAGAGAGAGGGAGGGGGGAGGGAGGGGGGTCTATATAAGGACTGATTTTATGAATTCTATGTTTTGATAATTGATCCCTTTGTAGTCGTGAAACGCAGTGTAATAGCCTACCAGTAGTTTATAGTCCGAATAGCAACAGGAGACTATTCGGACTCGAGTAGACCTCACTTACAGTACAACTGGTGATTGCGCAGGCGCACTGGAATTTATTATTTAAGTCCGAATAGCATCCAGTAGTGGCTGTTCGGACTCGAGTCCGAATAGCCACTTCGTTTTAATAAATAGATCTATAATACCAAAAGATTAAAAACTGATACCTGTGGTGCTGCAATGCAGGAGAACATTCCATTCTTGTTCAGCATGTATCTCTTCCAGTCAGATGGCAGGACTCCACGTAACACCAGGGATGAGGAACCGGATCTCTGTAAGCTTTCATCGTCAGAACCATCTCTGTACACATCACTTAGTGTACTCCCAGGCAATCTGTTTCCTTTGACATCAATATTTTGTCTTGCAGCTGCTCCATTTTCTTCGACATCAGCATGTTCAGCTGCAATTTTCTCAGCAATATTTCTCTGGTCATTCTCCAGTATTCCATCTTCTATGGCCATGTTCTTCACTAAAGTCTGCGACTGGGAGGAGTGCTTGTTCTTTTTGCCTGGAATTTTCCCCAACTGTGTGATGCTGATGCACTGAAGTAAGTAAAAAAGCACTGCAACTACGCCAAGTAGGCCCAATGTCCTGTATTTCCTTCGACAAAACTGTAACGGCGCCATCAAAATATCTAGATCTAGTTGACCTAGAAACTAGATTGACACTATAAATAATAATATAATCTAATAATACAATGGACAGAGAATTGTAATTTAGCCTATGTTACAGTGACTGTAGACTGTAGTCAGTTCAATTTCAGTACAGTGCGGAGGCCTCTTTAATTCGTGAACTTTTTATTCACACACACACTAGAATTTGCAGTTTAGAACTACAGTACAGCTCACACTCACTCAATTTTATTGTGGACTTGAGAAACCTGGAGTAGATCTACTTGGACTTAGGAGTTGGACCAGCCTCGGGACTTCAAATTGGGCCTAATTTTTTTATTTTTTTTAAACTTTAAGAATCTTTTTATGATGATTTTTGAATTTTTTGAAGACTGACAATGCTAAGATCCATTGCAATGGACCATGGAAAAACTTTCGGATTACATTTTCCTTTCCATCAGTTCATTGAATGTATTCGTTGTTAGACTATATCCTTTCATAATATGCTGTGTCTGTATGTAGACGTCTCGATTGCTTTCGGTTTCTCTACACTGTACACAACTCCAACTCTGACTCCTAGGGAGCGGCCATGTTGAACAATTTAAAAATTGACATGGACGGGAAGAGGATTATAAAACATTGGAACAGTAAGAAACGAACCAAAACAAGACAAGAAAACAATCTTGTCCACAAAACGAACGGCTGTTAGGAAAAGGGGCGTGGAAAGGGGGAAGAGGAAAGCAGTGGGGAGAAGGAGGGAGGGAGAGAGAGAGAGAGAGAGAGAGGGGGAGGGGGGGAGTGGAGTTAGAGGGAGTGGGAAGTATCATTATTTTTTATTACATATTATTACTATATAATAGTAATAGTAGTTGTGAAAGTAATGATAATAATAATAGTAATACAGTGTAGTACATGTAATTGTGAAAGTAATAAAAACTACAACAACAATAACAACAATAACAAGAACTAATAATAATAATAATAATAATAATAATAATAATAATAATAATAATAATAATAATAATAATAATAATAATAATAATAATAATAATAATAATACAAAATTATGTATTGACAATAGTAGACTATTTTTAATAAAATGTATTTTATTAGATAGGCCATATATAATTATTATATTATAGACCTAATTAGGCCTATAAAGTTAATTTCTTTCACTCGCAATTTTCTTATTTATTCCAGTAACATATTATCTTATTTTAATTTAGTCACCAAGATTCTCAAAAAGTGAACCCCATGCATCTATACAGCCTTTTCATATTTTTAGTGCATGAATTTTTGTTAAAAATAGAGGTTTATAGTATTAGTTAGTAGTGTGGGCACGGTATACACTGCCAAAGAGAGCTCATAGTGTAAATAGTAGTATAGATAGGAAGAATTTACCATGCCCAGTAATAAAAATTTTAATAGGCTAAAACTTAATTAATCTACAGACACAGAGGCGTGACTCTACAAACACACAAAAAAAATACAACAAAAAACACCGGGGCCCCCTACCCATGGTCTCAGCAACATTCACACAATCGTACCGAGAGTTATTATAAATTAAATAGGTTTCAGGACAACATTCTTAGGTTTAGCCTGTTTTCACTTTAGAAAAATAATAAATAGGATTAGACCCTGAATTTTTGTTAACTTTGAAGAATTTTATTTTTAAAAATAGATTTCTACACGTGCTGTAACTTGAAAACTGACTGACGGGTAATTTTGGCCTCAGCTAGATTCTCAGTTGTAAAGTTGCATTCAAACAATCGTACTTTGATTAATTAAAATTAATGAGTTTCAATGTTATTATTCTATAAGATACCAAATCAGGTTTAGTATTTTGTCACTTTAAAAAATAAAATTGCCCAAAATTTTTACGAACTTCGAAGCACTGTAACAGTCTTCAAAATTGAATAAATATTTATTATCAATTTAAAACCCAAGTGGGTGATTTCTACAGAATTTTAAAAGTTTACAGTTTGGGAAATATCGCTTTTAAAACCTAGTCTGCTGGAGTTTTTTTGTTGTTGTTGTTGTTGGGTTTTTTTTCCTAACCGCGTCATTAGGCCTATGTTTATTGAAAGCAAGTTTTGAGAACCTGTAGTGTCAAAAAGAGTTCACTCTAAAATTAATTATTTCTTGTAATGAGTTTTGCCACAGGCCATCTATGGAGATTCATCATTATATATTATGTGTGTGTGTGTGTGTGTATGTGTGTGTGTGTGTGTG